ATTTTCTATTTTTGAAGCGATTAATTACTTAATTGTTTTATTGACGGTAGTTGGCTTTATATAAGACCAGATTTTCGAGCGTTTCTGGTTTTTTGTTTTTCTAGCGAATTCTTTGTAATGAGCATGCGGGCACATTAATTGTGTGGCTTGAAGTGAATTACTCACTTTTTTCGACAGAACTTGCATCATTCTTTCCCTTGCGCCGAAGAGCAGAACTATATGGAGACTCCGAGCAAATGCAGAAGCACATTTGCCTGATGGGATCGAAAGAAACTCCTCGGAGACATTTCTCTTGTTTTTTTTCTGCTCACGAGACAAACGAAAAGCCGAGCCGCGTTCACCGGCGATGGCGGTCGTCGGTCGTTAGAGTGACAATGTAGCAATAGCTGGTCCTTCTTCGATTCCCTGCTCACTTTGCTAGTGCATTTATAGACGAGTGATCAATAGGCAAGGGTGGGGCACCACATACACACACAAATGGGCTGCAATTGGGGGATACTCCGCCACTGCTGCTGTAGCCGCCCTGTGTTGCCGTCGTCCGAAGGCTAATCGCCGTCGTCCAGCGCTAGAATGCACCTCGTTCACAACGCGTTTTTTGTCTTTGTCAATGTATTGCTATCGCTAGAGGGCTGGGGGCCTGGTTCATTTTACATTCTACATTTTAAATTACATTTTTCTCTGCGTCAGGATGGGATCTTGTCATAAATAATTATGTAAAATCATTAGTTTTGTCTCAAACATCTCATATAAAGCTTTTTTCGTTCTCTAACACTTCTATCACAATATGTCAATCTCTGAATTTTTCTTACCTTTAAAATGTATATCACTGATTTTTCAAACGAAATTTTGGGACACATCAGTGCTGATATGAAGTTCTTCTATGCTCTTCATTGACATGTGAATTTGCCCGAATTAATTCGGAAAAATCCACAATAAAGAATGAAGTTTTTCGCGTGAACGTGTGCATATCGAATAACCACATCATGTCTATACTAAAAATGGAAAAAGTCTCGTAAGAATATAGTGGAAATTCTCTTCAAAGATTCAAAACTTTTATTCTGGCAATTAACCTCCGTGCCGATTCAAAGGTGTCGTTTTTGCTTGCCCAGCTAAAATATATACTGCGACCGCTTTCGAAATCCTCTGTTGCTGTCATTGGGAAAAACATGATTGCCTAGGGGAAGGGAATAGAGGCCGTCATGGCTGACAAATTCATTCATACTCCTAACCGCCTTCTGCCCTTGTCGTACATCGCTTGTTGACTTCTTTCTATTTCTGGAAACTAGCTAATCCAATATAGTCTAGAACTACTTCCCCATTTCACATTTTCTCTTTCCAGCAACATTTTCTGCTCTTTATGGCTTGCAAATTCATTCGCTCTCAAATTTCAGAGAGGCTATTCTTGGCGTCGTTATTCTCGAAAATCATTTGAATACTATGATGACCTTTTTGAGAATATTTTTCCACCCTATTCTTGTGGAAAGTTGACACAATATGTCTCGTAGATAAATGGAGCAAGTATCACTTTCACTTACATTTACGTTATTATTTTTTTGCTTTAGACACGAATACTAAGGTAAGTCAAAAGTTATGAGAAACTCGCATCTCCTCTTGACCTATTCTCAAATTAGGTAGAATGTAAAAAGGTAAGTGCTCCAAACAGTTTCCGACACGGCTTTTCTTCCTCGTTCCAACAGCCGTAATTTTCAACCAAATCACTTCGTAATTGCTGAAATATTCGAAGAAATTTTGAACCAAGCGTTTGCCGTTCAAATTTTACCCTTTTTTTTCAGACTGTCAAGAAATTCTAGGTTATGTTAATTTGAAGCGGTAAACGCTTGATTACTTTGCAAAACCAAGGTTTGATAATAGACTACTTGCGAAGCTCTCAAATCTGAAAAATTTTGTAAGGTTTGGTGCATTTTCTGGGCGATTCTTTGAAAATTTAACGATTTTGCAAAAATGACTTCGAAAAGCCTCAAAATGCCGGTTTCAAAAGACCTAAGAAATGGTTTGCATTGAGCAGTACCTTTTTGACTTTAAGTGATCGAATTTGTTCGTAAACGTCAAGCTGAAAATTCTGGGGTAGCTAAACTCACCAAAGCAAAAATGACGTTTTCAACTGGGAAATTTTTTCGGCAACTAATGAGTCAGTTGGGCTGTTGCTTTGGCTGCTGAAAGTAGAAGGAAAAGCTACGAGTTTACGGTGCTTCTCCATCACTATTTTACACGATTCGCGGAAAGTTTGATGACTCAAGCTAATACATGAAACTAGCCTTTCCGGACGGTCTTTTGCTGTAAACGGCTTGTGTGATTTGCTTAAGATTGTGATTTGCTTAAGGTTGGAAATTGGCCATCCTATATCTTCTGCCAGTGTTCTATTTACCGACTGTTTTTGTCACTAAGTGATGATGGGATCTTCATGGCTATAGCTGGAAACTTGATTCTAAATGGCGATAGCGTTTTTTGTTCATGCTAAACGGACATTTGCTCTTTGCGATTTATTCCCATCAGGAGAAGCATCTTACTTTTGCGTTTTGGACTAAAATGTTTGATTTTTCCTTTCTCATTTGTTTACTTGTTTGTAATCTGAGAATGTTTGCATTTCCTGTTTTTATGTGATCAGCATTTTTTCAGAATTATAAGAAAGGTTCCAATATTCTGCATTTTCTATTTAAAAGCTTATTTGAGAGTATTTAAGACGACCGCAAATGAATGCAAACACTTAAATTGTCTCATATTTATGCTCTCCGGTTCGCGCAAGTGTGGTAGTGACAGATGGCATCCCTTAATGCTTATTGTTAGTCGTTTTCGATTTTTTCTGCGAGTTTCGATGACTAGAGTGTGCCGTCAAGGTCAACAGTAGACAGATGCTTGTCATATTTTCGAAGTGGTAGTTACGCCATTTCTTTAGCTATAGCCATAAATTTTTTGCTTTTCTTTGGAAGGAAAAAAAATCTGAAAGATCTTTCCTATGGAGTTTTTTCTGGAAAATTCCCCATACGCCCCAGTAGTTCCTCAGTTACCTTAGCGACTGTCATACGGAGCATAGCATGCGATCATGCCATAAGCCCGTTCTGCATCCTAGCTCTGCTGACAGATGCCACAGAAGGTTGACAGCCGTGCGCGCAGCTAAGCCGTCAAATATCCAGCCGTTTTATCTTGTCCCCCAATCTTCGGGTACGTTACACAATCTAACATTGATTTGCTTTGAGATTCGATTTTGCCTGTTTTCGGGATTTTTTTGTAGTTGAAATCTCTAAATCCAATCCTTATTTTACTGAATTTTACTCTACGAGATGTAAAATCATTTCTGGCTTTCTTTTTGGGGTCTGTGATATCTCAAGGAATAGTACAATCTATTATCTGGAGCATGATTGGCATTTTCTGGATAATTCTTTTACGTGCATTTTCAGTTCTGCAAATCTTGGCATTCTATTTGCGTTTTTCCACGTAAAATTTAGCTAGTGGGAGTTATTGTTTTTATTTGATCCTTTTCTAATCTGTCACATATCTTGAAAAGTCTCTTTCCCTTGCCCTGCGATTTTCTATAAATACACTCTAAGAAGTCTAAAATCTGCAAAGGCTCGTAGGAAAAATGCAATATATTTTCTTTCGAATCTTGGCTCAAACGTGTTTCGTAGCCATAATTCCGAGAATAGTCTTTGCACAAAAGACATAATGTCTACGATGCTGTAACGTTCTATTGTGAATTTCGTTTTACGAACGATGGTTCCATCTTGCCGCTTTGCTACACCTGTTAGAGTTTGCTGCTAAGTAGTAAAGTGGGTAAGTATCGAAATAGATTGAATGGTGAGAAGACTTGCATAATAAAACGCGAATCTCTCCATTTTATAACAGCAGCGACACACCCTAATCACTTAAAGTTTTTGTAGTTTGCGCTAAATAAATTTTAACATGGGAGTTATTTTTTCTCAATTATAATTTGATTGATCCCAAAAATTCACTTGGCATTATGGTTTATAGATGTAGCATCATGCGCTGATATTGTCCATGCTCCCCCCCCCCCCCCAAAAAAAAATTACTTCAGAAGATTTGTTTCTGGAAGGTGTTTCTTGCGACCGTCTGCTGTTCTACTCATCCTGATATAGAAGGACAAAATTAGCATAATGGTTTTACTTTCGCGAAAATCATTTCTTCGAAGGACATTCCGTAGTAGCATCTTAGCCACAAAGGGAGGGCAGGCATTAGGTGACAAAACGTGCAAACTGCAAGCGGCATAAAGCTCGTAAATCGCAGCTATACACCATTTTTTGATGGCGTAGATTATGTATAGGCAATGAGTGACCTCTCCCCCCCCCCCTATTTTTGCCACCGGATTTTGGGGAGTTTTTTGGGGCACCAGAAACTGAGTTTGTCGCCTAACGCCCTAGCCGCCACAAAGCAGCATTGGTGAAGTCTAAGTAGAATTTCTGCCTTCGCTCTGGTCACAGCTCTTTTTGGGACATTCCTATCACCTCTGAAATGTGTAAGCGCCAGTGTTGCAGATTCCTTGACTTATCGTTAGGTAAACATTGGAGCCCTGAAATCTGCATATTTTGTTTGTCGTGTTTGCAGCCTTATGTTTATGCTTGGTCCCAAGCTTCATGAACAAACGAACTCTTCTATGTTTCACTATTTTATCTGCTAGCTTCATTCACTTATTAGTTTTATAATAGGCTTTATATCTAAACTTCTGGAAACGAACCGTCTAACTGGTCGCGAAATCTCTTCTGAGTTCCATTGTTTTAGACTTCCGTTACTCTCTCGATCTGTTCCGTAATCTGTTGACTCATGTTTTGCTCGTATTGTCGTGAGAATGAGAATGAAATTTTCTCTGAAAATGTTGACTCATCGGATCTGCGAGCTCATCTTATTCGGCACGCTTATATCAAACTGTGTGTTGTTGTAACATCATTGAGTCATTTCGGAAGTTTTTCATCGCCTTGATTTTTTCCGCAAGCCCATTGTCTGAACTGAGATTTTTTGCCTTTTTTCAGATATGAACAGTTTGAACTGGAGCGAAAGAAGAAGCGAGAACATGCGACGGCAAGGCGCAGAGTTCCACCGCCTTACATCTCTGTCAAGCATACGCCTAACGAAACAACGTTGGTCGTTCCCGACATAAAGGTGAAGCTTTTCATCGGAACTTACCTCCAGGATTTTGTTTGTTTAGCCGAGCTGTTTTCAGGTGTTCAAGAAACCAGAAGTGAAGCCAGCGTTTGTCTGCGCTGTCACCGGGCGCCCTGCAAGATATCGGGATCCGGTCACGGGCCTCCCCTACTCGACTCCGTTCACTTTCAAAATCATCCGCGATAAGTATCACAAATACTTGAAAACTATCAAGGATAATCCGGAAGTGACAGAGTATTTTAAGCAGTTTGAGTAGGAAGGGTTCGAAAGGGTTAGGAGTGACAAATCAAGGACGGTATTAGGCTCTATTTTTGGACTTGTGTCATTCTGAGGGGTTAATGGAAGTGTTTTTCTTTGCCATGCTTTTTCTTCATTTTTCTAATCAAAGTTTTGCTCAGCTCTTCAAGTTAAGGTAATTTATGATTGTTTCCATGACCTATTTTCCCTTCCCCCTACCCCCTCCCCTCCAAAGCAGGTCGAGTAGGACTGGGCTGGAGGGGTTCGGCTGTATGTTTCGGCTGGCGTTCTTAGGCCTTATTTTTGAATTATTTCCGTCATTTTGAACTGACCATAAGTTGGAAGTGTTTCTTGTCTTGCGTTTTCCCTCCTTCGTTTAATCACTGAGTCAGCAATTTTTGAGATGATACTATGATTGTTTCCATGCCATGATGTCTCCCTTTCTCCCAACTACCACTCCTTTGATGATTTTAAGATTCTTTTCGAAACGAACTTGTTTGTCAAAAGCTATCCTCATCTTGTCACCAAACCAGTGGTTGCGATAAAAACCCTTTGGAAATAATCCTCGACTAGTTCTTGCGGTTTCTCACTGCTCCCTCTGGCCTACTCGCCGTTCGTTTGCGTCACACATTCTCCATTTTCCATTGTGTTTTTCGAGTCACCTCACGAATTGGAAGAAAGCGGAGACATTGTCGAGCTTGCTCTCTCTATTCTTCTCTAATTTTCCCGGATGCTGCTACTCAAACATTCTAACGACTCTTAGAAATCTTCGCTCAAAAACTTTCTGTGCACTCTACCCTGTCAGTCAACTTAGAGTTGAAATTGAGCATTGTTCCCTCACATTGTGAATATTGACATGACTTCGATTTTGCCTTGGCTTTTTCGCTAGTGAAGAGCTGAAGTGAGAATAGCCGATGGCGTTTTGTTTGAAGGAAACCAGCGCTGTTTTCGTAAACTCATGAATCATTTGCTTTGCTGCTGACACCGCAGTCTGTTGTTGATGTTTTCGTTCCCAACGGGCAGTTCACTCTTTTGCTGTTCAGCCCCCAATCATCTTTCCTACGGGAGTGTATATGTGTTTAGTTTTCAATGCTTGTGTATTTCCATCCATCATGTACATATTATGAATGTTGAAAGTTTGATAAATTTTCTTGACATCTTGTTTCAATGGTTTGGATGGTCTTGCCGCCATTATATCGTGTTCTTGACTTCTTTCTACCCAGTCATGTCACTGCAGACTAACGATTTCAGAAAGTCCGCCCAGTTGAGTTGAGACGGGCTGTCCTAGGCTGTGATTCTATGTATCCGAGATAGTTCCATAGCTGTATCTCATGCCAGCAGGTGAGCTCATCTTGCCTATTTTGCAAATTATCAGCTTAATTACACTATAATCGGTTTCGTAGTCTAGAAGGAGTACAACATTACTCGCTGATTGCATTAGCTGCTAATGTTGTTTACTTAGTGATTATGGCTAATTTAATTACTCTAGCACTACGAGAAAGTATCTATTTTCTCAAATATTCTATCTTGCACTTCGTACTCACTTTTGTACATGTGGGTATTCAGTGTAACATGATGCTCAGTATTTTTTTTTGCAGCGCATTGTTATTGCTCGTGCTTCTTGATTCCATTGTATTACAAAATCAAAGCTATTTCTTTATTTATTTTTTGTTTTTTTTTGCGTGATATCTATGGCGCAAGACTTGGTAAGTTCAGTCAGATTTTTTTCTGACAATAACCAAATCAGTTTATATTGGTATTCATGTTTTAAGCTACAAAATGACAATCAACAGTTTGGATTTCGTTCAGTTTTTTCTTTGACGTCCAGTTTTTTTTCTATCTTTTGATTTGTCTGCACTTCACATTCCCACTTCGATTTCTTGATTTTAATACCGCATGCATTACTGTCCAAAAAAAAGGAAGTTAGTGCATGCGGCTCTTGGAGTTCTATCCTATACAACAATTCTTGAATTAGGGTTGTGCTAGCTTGCTCCTTCTATCAAACAGATCTCAAATTCATGTTTACGCAAAACTTGGCACAGATTTTTTTTTCTACGGGTTGGCAGAGTTCCAAGCATTCGAATTTTTTTTGGTTCTTAATCATAATTCTAATTTCAAACCTTCCTTTTTCACTTTCACAAATTTTTGCAGAAGTTAAAAATCGGATACGTAGGCTTCCTTTCTTTCAACCAGAAAATCTCTGCATCTCCACGAACTGACAACTGATTGCTTTTAATTCGGTCAGATGGTCGAACAAGATTGCTAAGTAATGTGATTCGTTTTTTGCTTCAGAAGAGGAAGAATGCCCATCAGGAAGTCGAGCAGCCACATTCCGACACATATTCGGACAAAGCACAGCACGCGGCGAATGGTTTGATTGGGGCGCCGGGCATGGCTCATGTCTGGTCGCTAATCCGAAATTCATTGCGGTAGCGCTCGAGGGAGGCGCTGGAGGGCAAATTTTGGTGAGTCGATGCAAGTCAACGCAAAGTTGCAGATTTTTCTTTGAACAAAGTAAAGAAAAAGGCTCTGCGCCGGGATGGATTTGCTTTCTCGAAAAAGTTGCAGCGAAGAAATGTAAATATTTGACTTTACTATTTGGTACACCTGTAACAATGTCGCAGTGGCGGTGGCAGACTTTTTTTTGAGGAAGAGGGACAGAAATGCTCTGACAGTTTTTTCAAGCCTTCTGATGTTCTGCAAGATTCTGACCCTGAACGCTCTCGAATCAGCTTACATGGGTTATAAAAACGCGCAATTGACTTGTTTATACTCATGAATTATTGAATAATTAAAAATTTAAATTTTGAAATGGTCTTGTAAACGGATTTTTTGGTGGCTGGCTGCCGACACTCCCTCTTTCCAAAAATACTGGGTTATGGACCCGCAAAAGTCTCAAAGGATGTCCAGGAGTGCATGGCTAACCCGCGCACATCTGTTCATTTCTGTTGCCCCTTCCCACAACTCCTCCCCCCCCCCCTCTCCCTCTTGGAACCGCCATTATCTGCACTCTACATCTAATCCTTTTTTATCAACTGTCAACTTACAGAATTCTGATGAAATTCAGTATCTTGACTTGGACTTTTGAACTTTTTGAGTTAAACATGTTTGTTCTTTTTTTTATTGCGAAAGCTGTTTCTTCTGCCTTTCCCTTGATGAAAAGTTGAGCAAGGACGATTAGAAGATCAGTCAAACAGCAGCATTCTAAATTCTGTTTGTTATTCGCTGAAAACGGAGAGCAAGATTTTATGATGGCCATATTTACAGCATTCTGTTTCGCTTTATGTGGCCATAAATCGGGGCAGTATCGAGGGCCATTACGCATGCTGTCATTAGAATTTTGATTTGCAGGTAGGCACACTCGAAGATTTTGGCAAGCATGGTCGCACTGGACTGGCTTGGTTGCAAGATCATACGGTAAGGAGGGGATTCGGCCTTCGAGAACGGAAATTAGTTGAAAAAACCGATGTCTCGTCCTTGATTGCAGAATGCGGTCACCGATATCAAGTGGAATGGCTTCAATGACAATGTGCTTGCAAGCGGTTCAGCAGATTGTTCGGTACGAATCTGGCATGTCACTGATCAGCTGAAGGTTAGGATTACATTGGCTTGAAAACATCGTCCGAGTAGATGCTCCGCTTTGAGCATAACATTCTCGTGGAAATATTACTTTTATATGTTGTCAAATAAACTTTTTCGTCGCGGGAACATGCGTGCTAGACGGAATTGGCCTCAGTCTTCAAAGGCAGTGGCTCGAACAAATTGCGAATGCGAGCTTTTAGATGACCTTCTGGATCCGCTGAATTCGGGACTATGCTTAAAAAGTCAAAAAAGTGCTTTTAGCATTTCTTTAGCATTTTCCAACCTTGGAGATTGCTGAGAGGGGCAGGAGGAGAGATTCCCACCTAAAACAAGGAATGGCTACAGGAGACTGTAGCTCCACCCATTATGGCGACAATTGGCTGATCGGCTCAGGCAGCCAATCGCGACTCAGTTGGCGGGAATCGCTCGGTCAGCCCCTCCGACTATCTCTAGGGCCAGAAAACGCCTTAAAAAGCACTTTTTTGACTTTTCAAAGACAGCCTTGGGCTCAGCGCATCCAGAAGGCCAAATAGGGACGGAAAGCTCACATTTGCAATTTTCCCGAGCCACTGCCTTCAAGCACAACGATTCATTGGTGAAGTTATTCAGCCAGTAGCCGCTAAAAGGGCGAAGGCTCTAGTCGCGCCACCCAATTGCTGGTCAGAGAACTGATCCGCAACCGCGCCCATTGCGCATTTTGCCATCACCAAAAATCAGCTTTTCGACGTCTTGGCAGTTTTCTGAAGCACAATTTCGCATTCAGGACGTCCAGAAGCCCTAAAAATGGTGTTCTCTGATTTTTGGGAATCATCATTATTTGCTTCACCGAAATTTGCAGACCCAACCTAGATCATTCCTTACCAATTTTAGTCACAAGATTATTCTTTACCAATTTAGTCACAATGTGTCCGAACACTTACTCGCCATACTCGTCGTGTTGATCAAGTCGAATGGCATACGACAGTGGATAATGTGCTGCTTTCGGCCGGATCCGATAGCAAGATTCTCCTCTGGGATATAGAGGCCAATTCTGTAATTTACGAGGTTTGTGCCCCTGACTTATTGATGCTGTCTCGGCGACATCGATCTTATGATGCTAGGTTGCAAGCATTTGCAGATTTCCGATTTTTCTTCTTCGTGTATAGCATTTTCGCCTAATTCTTCGCTTTTTGCCGCTACTTCGCGTCAATCACATCGGTTAGTTTTCTCAATGATTGCTTCATTAGCAGGAGATTTGACAGCAGTTTTAGGGTCTGTATATTTGATGCTCGCACTGGTAATGCACTGAAGAGCGCCGTACTACCGCATGACGGAGGAATGCCTCCAAAGGTTTGATTTCTGGTTTTTGATTATCGTATCTGAATGCTCGGTATTCTATGGTGTGTACAATTACGGAGGAAAATGTACTTTTGACCAAGAGCTTGGTTGCTGATTCAAAAAGATTGTCCATGACCTTTTGAACTGAGTTTGGAAATAACACCAATTTATGTGTAGTAAAGTGTGTAGTCTCCTCTATTTACAGAGCAAATTAAGAAGATTGCAGCACGCATTAGAAAGTAACCGAAAATAGCTAGTTACTAGTGGCTGACCGAGGGAACGGTTAGAGGGTGGGCAGTGCGTAGCTACGAAATTTTTTCAAATTTGCTTACTTGAGTTATAAGAATGAGCAAATAATCCATTTATACTTATAAATATTTGAAATAATTTTGAAGATCCAAGTCAGCTTTAAAGATTTTTTTCAAAATCTGGGTTTTGCAAGGCTGCAAAATTCTAGAAGCATACCAAAAATGTTTTGGAATGCGTGGCGTGTGCTGTGCATCTTCACTCATAAAAATTTTTCGTTACTCCTGCCCCCCCCCCTCCCGCACGGAAATCCGCCACCGCTAGATGCTTAATAGGCAGGAAGTGAAATAGACTAAAAGATTAAAAAGGCTAGGTAATAAAATAAAGTAGAAAATAGGTAAAGGCTATGACAGAAAATGGTCTAGAATGCAAAAAACTTCCATCTTTGTTTTCGAAACCGTTTTTTTATCTTGCCTACTTTTCGATCATGGCATGTAGAGCTCCTTCTAATTCAAGTTTCTTTAAGAGGGAAGCAGTCATAGATTTTTATAGGAGTATGAAAATGCGCGCAATAACTGGGCTCCGACCCAGAACTAACAAGGAAATGATCAATAGTCGAAGTGGCCTATCTAAACAAGTTGCACATCATTAGATGCAGCATGAAACGCTGATTCTAAAATTGTCTTTACTGTCTGCTAAATACTTTTTTATACGAAGCTGTAAGCCACTCAAAGCCACTATTTCGTTGAGAAATTGTGCTTGCAAAAAGCAAATTTAGCCGTACAAAGCCATGGTCGGATCAGTGCTGGACCAGAACGTTCGGCTAGGTTACTTCATCTAGCCAATACCTAAAACTGAGCCTCGCAATAAGACTGATCATGGCTTTGCCCACAAAGGCGTTTAGCAGATATGATAAGCAGATTTGAAGATAGCGTTCTATGCTGCATCGAATGGTATGCAGCTTATGTGGAATGGCCACTTCGACTTCTGATCGTTCCCTTGTAGGAAAGCTGACTTTTCGTCCATTTCGGCATGCGAAATGCGTAAGATCTCGCCTTCGCTTCGCTGTTTACCACATGCTCCTTTTTATGCGTGAAACTTATGATTTTCTCTTTGACTCGGCATGAATAGTGTGATAAACTAAGCGTCTTCATTTTGCAAGTTTTTCAATGCCACCGGACCTTTCGCCATTTTTCGCTTCGCAATACAGGATTTCTTCAACGCGCGGCTTGAATCTTCTCTAGCACCTGTGCTTTTTACATGAAGGGAAGTCATAGCTTATACATAACAGTTCTTGGCTTTGAATATAAGAAAGCATATTTTTGTTGATGATAATTGATCACTCCAGTGTATGGTCATGATACTCCTATTCGTTATCCATAACACTTCTTTCAGGTAGTGTTCGCCAGTGCTCAACGTTTGGTAACATTTGGTAACACAAGAATTAATCGACGACAGTTTGCGATTCATTCCATATCGTCTTTCGGTTCATCTCTAGCCACAATCGATGTCGACGGTTCTTCAGGCCAACTTTGCCCACTATTCGATCCAGATCTCAACCTTCTTTATGTTTCTGGCAAGGTACGTAGGGGATGCTTGATGTTCGCCGCATCCTGCGTTGTGGTTCCTAAATGGAGTGACTGATTCCAGGGTGATTCGACGTTCCGCTTGTATGAATTTGTAAATCGACCCCCTTATGTGATTTATTTGACTGAATGTCAACAACAGGCACCTCATACTTGTATATGTACTATATCTAAAAGAGCTCTAAATTTAACCGGTGCCGAAGTGATGCGAGTGTACAGGTAGGACAGATTTTGCTTAAAAAAACTTCAATGCTAAGGTATTTTTATTTCAGACTGCACCCCCAGTCACTGCTTATTCAACCACTTTCCTTCATAGTTCCACGGCGGGTGAGTCACCACGGTTACCTTGCATTGTTCCGAAGCGTCGTTTATTATTTAATCATGCCTTTCGTTTGTCAGGATTGTTGGGTGCCTGTGGAAACCGCGTTTGGTAAAATTTCACAATTGCCTTATAGAATCCTACTCTCTGTCACCACTGAAGTGGTGTCGTCTATCATTTTTCTTTGTTCGCGGAATACGTGAAAGTGCCAATTTGAGGATTTCTATAAAAAAAAAGGCGCTGACGCCTTTTCATTGCTAACGTTTCGGTCAGGGAAAATGGTGGTATATTAACTGAAACGATAAGCATCATGTACACTGCCTAAAACTCAATCCGACCACGCTTGAAGGGGCCTTCCGCCCAGATTTGGGCTTTGAGATTTTGATGCAATGCAGGAGGCCCTTAACTATGTATTATAAACTGCCCACCCGCTGCGAAACGAGTATTCCGAAGCAAGAAAACTGCTCCAAAATGAGGATGCTGCTGAGGTTGTCAGGCCTGTAAATGTGGATGCACTAAAAGTAATGAGCGCGAAACTGAGTTTTAGAGTAGGAAAATGTATTTTACACAAATGGTGGATTATCAGCATACCTAGATACTGTGAGTATAGTTAGGGGCTCGGTAGTTTTAGACCACCCACGTTGATAGGCGTGGCTATCCCATACAATCCATTTTTTGAAGCGATTTCCTTGCTTCAGAATATATTTTTTGCTGTGAGACATGGGCAGTTATTTAGTTAGAGGCCTTGCATTTGTTCTGCATCAAACACTATCTCGGATTAGAATGGACGGTACCTCTGAGGATGCTTTTTGTGCTTTCGCTTTGATATCAAACGACTTTTTTGAAGCGGCTAACCTTCATTTATCGGTGCTAGTGAACTCGAAAAAACTCTTTTCATCTTCGTAGCCGGAACAAAAGTCTCCTTAGGGACTGAAACTTGTTTATCGAGGGAGTGGAAGGGGTTAGAAATCAATGGCGAGATGGTCTCCATTCCAAGCCGAACGAAGTGGCTGTTTCAACATCTTTTTGTTCTTCTTCGCCATACTTTATCTCATGTTACGAACTATCACGCTATATCCGACAGAATCTCGAAATGTTGGTTTTTGTCGAAAATAACGAATAGACGACAGCTCCTATTATAGATGTTATATTAGATTGGCACATAAGTTTTGCAACTAATGTTGTAACTTTTCTCTTCTTGATTGTGGCGCATTTATTGGGCATAATGTAGACCAGAAAGTAGGCTACAAATGTGCGCAAACAATCTGATTTTTGGTAGCGAAATGGAGAACATGTACGCATTCTCCAAAGGTGGTCAAATTCGAATATTCAATGGTCGGAAAACGTAAAATAAAGCCGATCTCAGTTTTCAGACACATCAAGCCGAAACTGTACCCAGATTGTTGATAGATGAATATCCAGTGATTTAGATAATGTGTTATCCAAACTGAGAACGCTATTTTAGGTTTTCCTACCTTTGAATTTTCGAATTTGAGCTTTCGAAGAATGCGTATATGTTGTCCTATTCGCTACCAAAAACCGGCTGTTTGCGCAATCTGTAGCCTACTACCTACCCTACCCTATGCCCAAAAATGAATGCGTCACTATAAAAAGGGAAAATATACAAAATTAGTTGTAAATCATATGTGCTAACCCATTACATAGAATTTTTCGAAGTCAGTTGCCCAATTTTCTCCAGCCTTCTTTTTCTGCCTCAAGAGAGTGAAATCTGCTTCGCATTCTGTACTGGTGAAGTCAACTTCTACCATTCAATTTCAGTCAGACCAATTTCATCCGGACCTCTATCCACCAACCAGAGGGCCCACACCCGCTGCATCATTAGCTGAGTGGCAAGCAGGGCTTGACGTTGTTCCCGTTCAACTTCAGTTGAGGCCTGGTCAGCATTTCTACTTTCGTTTAGCATTGTGCTTGTTCCACTCCTGAAGCTATCAAAAATGTTCATCGCTGCACGTTTTATGAAGTTCTGCGTAATTAGCCAAATTGTGTAGTTTTCAGCAAGACGAACTTTTTTCAATCCTTGCAAGCTTTGCGAACTGGAGAAAATGCACAAGAGATGCATTCAATTTTTCTGAACTGCCGTCATTATGTTTATTTCCATGCATATCCTTTTCATGGAAATTTTCACATCGTAGTTCGTATTTTTTGCGCTTCACCCTGATTTGCTATCAGTGCATTGAGCAATTTGTGTATATTAACGTTCAGGACAGCTAACAACCACATCGAAACCGGTGTTACTGAAGGGACGTGGTAGTCCAAAACTTATCACTTCTGATTTGAACAACGACAGAAAATTTAGGTTTTTATCAAAGGTATGTTTTTTTTTTGACTGCAGATGCGGGTTCTGTATCCTAATCTCTAGATAACGAGGCCAGATTATCGCGCAGTTGAGGAGAGAGAAGATTGTGAGGAAATTACGAAACTGATTGAGGTCACGCATAAAATCCATGAAGGGCAGCGAAACATCAGGTAATAGCTTCGTTCTTTGAAGCTTCTGATGAAAAATCATTGTGGGATTGTTAATGTAATATGCAAAATTCTACAATCATGGGACAACACGAACGATAACTTTTGATTTTGAGAAAAACTTCTGATTTTGAAATTTGTTGGAGAACGTGCTTATAAATACAGACAAACAGCTTTGATTGAGAGTTGACACTGGACGCTTTGCTGACAATGTTTCAAACATTTGTGATTTCTTGCATATATGTGACACATCATTTTTGATTGACAACTACTCAGTCTACTCACAGAAAAGCGATGTTTTCTTCTTCTACCTCATCTGATAAAGCAAGCACTTGTAAGGAGATATGAGCTAGAGTAGTCAAAAGTGCCAGCACTACACCTTAACTATTGTTCTTTTCTGAACCAGTTTTGAGCACAGGCAAAAAAAGAAGCTGGACTAGAGTAGTCAAAATGAGAAATATTAATCTTATTTATGGGATGGGATGAAATCAAGATTCCCATGAAGACGAAATAGGTACTTTTGTTTGAAAAAATTATCGGTACGAGTTGCAATCTTGGTTGTCTTTTCACTTCTGAGCCGTTTTGTTGCGGAATGTGCTCCATTGTAAAAACTCATTTTGTCACCGAAGATAGAGCTTCCAATGGAGACTATCTGAGAATGAAACTGCGATACAGACTCAAGTTAGAGTAACTCATTTAATGGACCTTACATGCCTTTCCGCGGCGTGTGGCGTAGTGTTCTGAGGCGCCGCTATGAACCGGACCCAAGTTCGATTCCTCCCCCCCCCCCCTTTGGTGGGAACCAAGTGTCGTAGGCGATAGTGGTGTCGATAATAATTTATCCACAGACGAACCCCGGTGTTGAACCGGGGGAGCAACCTCTAATACATTCGGGGGCTCCTTATATAGCTAGTAAGGCGGAGCTGACCCGTGCACAATCAGACTGTCCAGGAAATACATGCAAGAAAGAGGATGCCGCGGCTTGGCGCGGCCCCTGGAAGATAGGTGCCACTCACTGGTGAGTGATTCGGCACTTAAATATAAGCGGATGGGGAATGTAGCCTGTGGGGAATACCCGTAAGCTATTAGGACTATAGAATTGTTGAGGTTGATGATACATAAATCATCAACACTCCGGGCGAGCAAGGAGGAGGCGAAATGTGTTAGAATGTAAATAGATAAATACAATCAAAACCTCCTAAAAGCATTCGTACTTAGAAAATGAGATACAGCTGTGTTCATGAGTGTAAGCTATTAGATTAGTTGTCGAGGTTGATGATTCATAGATCATCAACACTCCGGGCGAGCAAGCAAGAAGTTAATCTGGTAAGCACAAGATACTAATGCATAGATTTGTATAGACTTAGACATACTTATGGGAGCTACAGACAGAAGAGAATTTACGGTGAACAACTGTAGTGGTTGGTGGTTGCTGTTCCGTGGTGTAGCTTCGCCTTTCGTCGTCGTCTCTTCTTCCTCGTCGGTTCTGCCCTCGTCGATTTTGAGTTGACAGAATCGTTATCGGTGATTGTCTTCGTGATAGTCGGCGTTTTCGTGATCAGATGGTTGTGATGTGTGATCTTGGGCATGTCCGTCATCTTTATCTTAGCTTGTGTCGTCGGTTGAAGAGTTCTGGCAAGAGTTCCATTCGCACTCCTCGTGTTGGGGCTGGAACTGGAGCCTAATATGCAGCGAACTTTGGCCAGCCATCGTTGTCTGTCTGCCTTAGCTTCGCGATTAGCAGCAGTTGTCCGGGTTTTCTTCTTTTTCGATAACGACTTCGCGATGTTCTGAGATGTTACTTCAGTATGCGCTTGGAAGATTCTCCTGTTGATTCCAGCTGTAGCGTTTTGATTGAAGACGGTGAACGTCTTCTTTGTCGTAAGCCATTTGGGGCGTCGCTGCGGGTGAGAAGCGAGTTTGGAGGCTTCCTGCATCATGGATGTACAACCAAAAGTGCCGACGATCTCCGTGACGTTGGTACGGCTTGTCAGATATGACATATCCAAAGATGGTCGGGGTCAATATGAGCCCGGAGGGAAGCTTGAGCACTGTTTCGGTGTGAACAGTGACGAGGTTCAGAAGATCTTGTCCAATAATGAGTTCAGGCAAGACGCTTTTATGAGTGAGCGTATCTTGAGCTATCTTCAAGTTCTTATTGGAAATGAACTGAACATCTGCATCTGTGAGATGTGCTGTATGTAAGTTGGCAGTCAACTTCTCTTTCGTGTGCACTGATATCTTCTTAAGCTTCTTTACGTTGTGAAAGCTTTTCAAAGTAATTTGCACTTCATTGGAACTGAATGTCTCTTTCAATTCTCCCATTCCTGATGTGGTGAATGACGTCGTTTGGATGACTGGCAGCTTAAGCTCATCACCAAATTTTGATTTGATGAAGCTTCGCTGGGCGCCAGAGTCAATCAGTATTGTTATGGGTTGATAATCCCAAATTGCCTCGTTGAATATCATGGCTGAAGCCGTTTGAAGTACGCTTTGGCACACGATTGGCAGTTTAGTTGAGCTGTAGACTTTTTGTCCATTTCGCCGTGCAACGGGTACTTCACTTGTTTTGCGATGATCGAAGTTGGTTCTTTGCAGTATCTTAGAGACTTGCAAATGATGAGTGCTAGCAGGAAACTGAGACTGCTCGAGATACTCTTCCTCCTCTTTCCATTTCGGACTTTCAGTACTTGTGTCCAGATGGTTGCTTCTTTGAATGTTGCTTGGAAGAAGTGTCTTCATTGTTAATGCGGTCGTTTCCCGAAGAGAGATGATGTCATCTATCGCGTCTAGGATCTCCGAAACATCAAAGTGATCGCCAACTACGGTTTCCTTCTGTATGACGGTTGCGCAGATGGCTTCAGGAAATTTCGACAAGATTAGTCGGCGCCAGATTCTGTCTGCGCTCATCTTCATTCCGGTTTGTTCCAGGTGAATGATCCGCGAATTGATTGCTTCGAAAGTTTCTCGGCAACTTTCGGGATTGTCTTTTGCTCCATGAAGTCGTTCGATTTCGTTGATGAGTATATCTGCCATGTTGGCAGACCGGTCAAAGTGCTTCTTCAGGATGTCTACGGCCGTCTTGTACTTGTCTCCAACGACGGGGATGTAGTTCAGAGCCGCAGCAGCTCTTCCTTTAAGAGCTTGCTTAAGAAAAAGGAATTTGTCGCCATCTGATAAGTCTTCATCACAGTGAATCAGTGATTCGAACACTGTCCAAAAACTGTTGAACTCTCTGAAGTTGCCAGAGAATGTGGGAATCTCTAGAAGCGGTTTCCGCACTTTGATCTGGCGCTCGCTTCGTTCCGTTACTGAGCCTTGTCCTATCTCGCTTGCTGATTGGCTTGGGATACTAGGAGCAGGCGTATGCAAAAGTGTCATTTGCTCCCTCAGTTCATGCTGTCTGAACTGTATCCTGGTCTGCCATTCCACTACAACCACTTCTAGATCAAATGATTCAAGCTCTAAGTGCTTGCTGAGTTCTGTCATTAGCTTTTCCCTTTCTTTCTCATCATTCCGTGTGTTGATGTACTCCATAGCGGCACTGGTTTGCGTTTCTAGGAGCTTCATTGCGTTATGCAAAGAGTTTAGGAGATTAGTTATTACTCCTGTTTTCTCTTTGATGTACAGCTCACATTGTTCTTTTGTCGCAGGAAATGTGAAGGGAACATCAATGTCATTAATTTGTGACTCGTGTGATTTTACGAGTTTGCAGGCATTGTTGATCCTGATCTTGAAAAGTTGAAGTGCGGCCATCTTCGAGATTCAGTTCCGATTTCTTCTCTTTTTGTCCTACAGCAAGTTGGTTGCTTTGCTGTTTCTTCAATGTACAAGTAGGGAGGTTTTTGCAAACTTGCAGGCTCGTTAGTGGTGTTGTTGAATAAAGACAGCTGTGTGCTGATCTCTGAAGAGCAAGCGTGCTTAGTTGGCTTGAACGCTGTGCTGACTGGTAAGGTGGCTTGGACCTTGACCAGATAAGGATTGGGTTTCAATCCTTTAAGTCAAGAGTTCTTGGTCGAACTTTGACTTTTTTGGCAAAATGAGCTCCTGTGACTCAAGTTGCCTTCCTTTCAAATCTCAATGTGTTGATCTCCGGTCCTTGGATAGGATTCGCGAGAGATCTATGAGATTGATTGGAAAATTGCACCCACAAAAATTTGTTCCGCTCTCTGGATCACTTACGGAAAGGATTCACAGAAAGTTTCACGGTCTTATGTGGTTATGTGCTGCACTCACAAAATTTGTTCCACCCTCTGGATCGCTTACGGAAAGGATTCACAGAAAGTTTCACGTATTAGTGTGATTATGTGCTACCTACTGATTTCTCTTACACCTTTCTGGATCACTTACGAAAAGGATACACAGAAATTTTCAGATGGTCAGTGGTATTCCTACTGATTTCTCTTACACCTCTTTGGATCTCTTACGAAAAGGATACACAAAGATTTTCAGATAGTCAGTGGTAGCCTTCCGATTTTTCTTACACCTCCCTGGATCTCTTACGAAAAGGATACACAGGAATTTTCAGATAGTCGGTTGGTTGTCTTCCTGCCACGCGGGTCTTGTGGCCTCGATTCCTCCGGTTGCAGACAGAATGCGAGGTGGCTTCACTGGTCGATGCACCAATTTGGTGGGAACCAAGTGTCGTAGGCGATAGTGGTGTCGATAATAATTTATCCACAGACGAACCCCGGTGTTGAACCGGGGGAGCAACCTCTAATACATTCGGGGGCTCCTTATATAGCTAGTAAGGCGGAGCTGACCCGTGCACAATCAGACTGTCCAGGAAATACATGCAAGAAAGAGGATGCCGCGGCTTGGCGCGGCCCCTGGAAGATAGGTGCCACTCACTGGTGAGTGATTCGGCACTTAAATATAAGCGGATGGGGAATGTAGCCTGTGGGGAATACCCGTAAGCTATTAGGACTATAGAATTGTTGAGGTTGATGATACATAAATCATCAACACCCCCCTCCCGTGGGCTAACCAAGCCCTCTATCCTC